GGTGTCGTTCGCCTCGTGATGGGGGTAAAGTCGGGTGTCAGCCCCCGCCTTTGTTTGGGTCAGTCTGGTGTAAACCCAATCGCCTGTGAGGGGGTCAGTTTGGTTCAGCCTCGCCTCGTGTGGGGTAAGCCCTTGGTGCCCGGGCCTCCCCTGATGGGGCCCTTCGGGTGTCACCCTCAATCATGATGGTGAAACTGGTGTCAGTTTTGCCTCGTGGGGGGGTCATCTGGTGTAAGCCTCCCCCTTCGGGTTCTTTGGGGTAAATTTTTGGTGTGTCTGTTCGCCTCGTGAATGGGGTCAGTCTGGTTTGTCAGCCTCGCCTCGCGTGATTTGGGGTCAGTACTGGTTGTGTCCGCCTCGCTAGTGATGGGGTCAGTCTGTGTCAGCCTCGTCCTCGTGAGGGGATCAGTCTGGTGGTCCGTCTCGCATGGTGATGTGGGGGTCCAGTTGGGTGTCAGCCTCGGCCTCGAGATGTTGGTATACGCTCAGGTGTGATGGGGTCAGTCAGGTTTGTCAGCCTCGCCTCGTGAATGGGGTCAGTCTGGTGTCAGCCTCGCCTCGTGATGGGGTCAGTCTGGTGTCAGCCTCGCCTCGTGATGGGGGTCAGTCCGGTGTCAGCCTCGCCTCGTGATGGTCAGTCTGGTGTCAGCCTTCGCCTCGTAGTGATGGGTGTCCAGTCTGGTGTCAGCCTCGCCTCGTGATTGGTGTCAGTCTGGTGTCAGCCTCGCCTCGTGATGGGGGTCAGTTCTGGTGTCAGCCTCGCCTCTTGTATGATGTGGGGTTCAGTCTGGTTGTCAGCCTCGCCTCGTGATGGGGTCAGTCTGGTGTCAGGTCTCGCTCTCGTGATGGGGTCAGTTTTGGTGTCTAGTCTCGCCTCGTGATCGGGGGGTCAAGTCTGGTGTCAGCATCGCCTCGTGATGGGGTCAGTCTGGTTGTCAGCCTCACATCATGATGGGTCAAGTCTGGTGTCAGGTCTCGCCTCGTGATATGGGGTCAGTTTGGTGTCAGTCTCGCCTCGTGATGGGGTTAGTCTGGTGTCAGCCTCGCCCCGTGATAGGGGGTAAGTCATGGTGGCAGCCTCGGCTTCGTGATGGAGTGTCATGGAAATTTTGTATTGTTGGTCGACTTTAATGTGTCATATATTCGTGTTATTCATATGTCTCTGGTGTGTTTATAATTAAAGCTCCGCTGAAGGCTGCAATTGGGCCGATGCGCATGTACCAATGTATGTATTTACAGTACTCAGCTTGGTAATGGCATGGAGATAGGCAGATCTGACGCTTTTTAGACCGGTTTTTAGGGAGATGCTTGTGCAGAGAATTTTGCATACCAATAGAAGCTAGTAGGACAGGAAATATGACCTCAGATGGCTCATAGGGGGGAAGGGGAGGAAGTCTGCTGACCTCAGAAGACTCATGGGGGAGGACCAGTGATAGATAATAGCAAAGGCTATGCTCCAATTGGAATGTACATCCTCTGTATAGGCAATCCCCATTGCATTGTTCGGTGGGAGGGGATTGACTTTATTCATGTGGGGGGCATGTGTGTATTTTTAATAAAAACAGAGAGCTGAGCCTAAAGCCGGCCCTTATGTGGATTGCAACCAGCCTTAGAGTGTCGTGTGATCATTCTAGGGTAACGGAGCTCCAATCACCCACAATTCAACAGAACCAAAGTATTTGGATGGGCAGGAATCGTGTAGTTTGGCTGCAGTCGTGGTAAGCGAGATTCGCACAGCTTTATGGGGGATTTCTGCGCATCCAACTGCGAGTACTCACGGTAAGGAGAAATTCGTTAAAGCGAATTTCCAAGACAGTTTGGCGAGCCTGGTGGATACTAAACGCGTATTCTTGCGTAGCTAACCAGAACGAGGGGGGGAATGAACTATCATGAACTAGCAAAAAGTATGCCGGCACATTTCAGGTCTCTCTGCCATTAAGAGGATCGCTTTTTGCGTGTTTCGTGTGGCTGATTTCGCTCTCTGTTAGCTAACAAGAAATACCGCTTGGCAAGGACCTCATTTTTTGTCCTAAACTCTTGATTTGTGGGTGAAAGACGAGGGTTTGTCTCTGCTGAGAGCAGCAGGGGGGTGGGTTTGGTTGGCTGGATTTGGTCAAGTTTAAAAATCTTCCAACCAAAAATTAAACGGGTATATGTTTTAGTGGGTAAAAGTTGTTGCATAGTGTTAGGTAAGTATTTGTGGGCTGTAGGTACTGTGGTGATTGCTCTACCCCCCTCCACGTGAGGTAATTATTACAGTGCTGAAAGGCTTAGGTTAATTGTTAACTGTTGTAAGATCTGTGTGTATGTAGTCTGTACAATGTTTTGTGGTACTACTGCTCCCAGCAAGCATGCAGCAGGGGGGTCCTTTCTGTTACATGTGCATGTTAGTGTGATATGTTGGTGTTTTATGTCCGTTCTGTGATTGTGCCCAAATTGTGTTGTATGTGTACTTCATATTGTTGTGTAATTGTCCAGTGTATGTTCTGTCTAAAAGTCTGTTTTATGTAAGAGCAATTTTGAGGCTAGAGTCTGCCGTGTGTTTCCCTGTGGGGGGCCATTCTAGTGTTACCCATGTGCTTCCCTGTGGGGGGTCATTTTGTAGTAAACTGCCATGTGCTTCCCTGTGGGGGGTCATTTTCTTGACTAAACCACATGGACTCCTTTTGTTTGGTGGCCATTTTGTTGGCTACCATATGTGCAGTAATCTCTATGCAATGTGCATGAAGTTTTCTATATGCATTTGACCCATATTGTGTTTTTAATCCAAATTTTTTACAGTTTCATTTGTTTGCTTTTAGCTTTAAATTTGCGTATTGCCAGCCAATTTAAAGTGTGTTAAGCGAGTTTTCCCTTCACGTGTTTCCACATTTAGTGAGCGCGGTGAAGTCTGGGTTTTTGCACATAGATTTCTTGTATAGTGATTATGTTTTTCTTGTGTTTTTCCTGTTAAAAGTAGTTCCTTATTGTAAAGCGGGTTTGTTTTAAGCTGCTGTGTCGCGGTTTCACGTCCAGCAGACTTTTTGTGTAAACGGTTCTAGGTTGCAGTGGTTGCAGTAAAAGATTGCGTGTATAACGTGGCGTCATCGTTTAGCGCAGTGGTTTACCTCTGTGTAATGATGTGAGGAGTGTTTATTTTTTGCGTCAGCAACAACAAGGTTACTTTGGCGCGTCAGTTTTTTCGGTTTTTTCGGTTTACTCTGTGTAATTGTTTTACTGTGAAACGTCCCGTGTTTTTCATAAGGATCCACTTTGTCCTTTTTAACAGTTTTTCAGGTTGAAAAAGGGTTTTTTTTGTCTGTGTGTATTAGGAAAAGTTTTTTTTCCTTTTACAAATTTCAAATTTCTAAAGGTCAGTTAGCAGGTTTCTGCCCAACCAGTGACCCCTAAGTAACATCCAAGAACCCCTCTTTTGTTTTTGACTTGTGTTAGCTACTGTGTGCAGGGAGAGAAAAGCCACTTTCATCATTGTGCGGTGTGTGCCTGCCAAACACAGTGGGTGATGAGAACCACATAAATTACGCTGTGCGAGTGGGCGGGTCCAGGGAAGTAAACACTTTAGCCTGGTTACCACAAACACTTTCGGGTGGTCAGGATCACACAAATTGCGCTGTGGGAGTGGGAGGTGTGCTCTCAGTCTGACCGCCACTTGATGCGCTTCGGGTGATCGATAAGTATCACATAAATTACGCTGTGCTGGGAAAGTGGTGGAATCAGGCCTCTCGGTAGGATCCCACCGAGTGCTCCAGGGGGTAAACAGGTACCCGGCGGACGCGGGGATATATACCAGTGACTAGTCACGATGGGCAGTAGTCAGTCCATGAAGAGAGAGGGGGAACCAGCCCTCTTCAGGGTAAGGACAGCTGCACAACTGATGAAGGTGAGTTTGGGGGGGAAGTCTACAGAACCCCTCAAAAGGTGGAATAAATGGTCGAAGGGTACCAGATGGGAAATTCCCCGGGAAGGTACATTTGACGCATGGAGGTGGGAAAAATTCATCTCTGAATTTGAACCACGGATGCAGGCGTCAGAACTAGAGATCGCACAGCTATGGCTTCACAGGTCAATCCGATTAGGGAAGCAGGGCATACATAAACTGGTGTCTGTCCGGAAGAACCAGGTGATGTATACCTGGCCTCCAGAGGGAATAAAACAGGAGGATCCGTGTCAGAGGTGGAGGAAGCTCTTTCAGGGCTGACTCTACTAAGGCAGGCAGGATCAGGGTCTGCTGGGGTTCCCCAACAACCAACAGTGGCTGAGATAAGTATAACTGCACCTGTCTCTTCTGTTAGTGACGTCACTCTTGACATACCTTCTGTGTCTTCTGTCTCTATGCCTCAGCCTCTGCCTCTACCTCTCCCTTCTCCCTGCTTCACCCCAGCTCCTTCTGTTTCCAACTATGAAGCCTACTCAACAACCGATTTGCAGACTATCTGTGAATCAAGGGGAATAGACACCCGGTTAAAAAACAGGGCGGATTGCATCAAAGCGCTACGAACCACTGATCAGACCCCTGCCCCCCAGCTATACCCTGATCTGAGGGACCTCAAACCTGAAGGTGCAGTAAGCGAGGTGGTTAATCTAAGCCCACCGATGATGCTGGGTCAGCCCTTGCACTCTTTCCCGGACCGAGGCCTATCCAGTCAGGGTGCAGCAATTTGAAGGTCCTCCCAATGCACGGGGGGAACGGACTTTAGGGGAACGGGTAGTTTGGCATGTCCCCTTCACCCCGGCAGAGATCCGCACTATTCTGGCTGAGCTCCCGGACTATCGAGTCAATCCGAGGAGGATTTGCTCGAATGTTTGGACAAAACCAGTTCAGCTATGGTATGAGCGGGTCAGATTGTGCACAGATCCTACGGGCAAAGGTGGGCATGGAAGTGGCCAGTACAGTGATTGCAGGGTGCTCTATAACCACGCATGAGGAGATGACTTCAGGGGGCAAAGAGTTCTGTACACAGCTAAAGGCAAAGCTTCCAGAAATGTATGGTGCTACCTCTACTACGGACATGATGAAGCTCACCCAGGGTCCTAATGAGGAAAGCGCCTGCTTCTGGCGCCGTCTCAAGCAGACGGCACTGGATGCGGATCTGGAAGTTGGACCTGATGCTCCAACTGAAGGGGTAAAGGTGACCGCGACGCACATTCTGTTGCGGGCCAAATTTTTGGAAGGCATCGATACTAAAATTCGGGAAAGGCTGGTTCTGGCCCGACCCGAATATAATGAGATGTCTATCCCTGCTATCCTTTCCACTCTTGCGGCAATAGAGAGGGAAATGGATAGAAGAAAACAAGACAAGGCCAAAGTTCTTATGTCCCAGACCCCACACGAAAAAACCAAGGGATCTGGGTCACAGGAAGGATAGGCCCCCACCCAGGTGCTTCCAGTGCCACCAAACGGGGCACATGAGGAGGAGCTGTCCCCAAATTACCTAAAGGTCGGTGGCAGTTCATTCCTGATGAGTCCTCCGCCCCCCTATGACCACCATGGTAAGTAACTCCTATGAATTCTCATAGGAAGTTGACAAATCGGTGTCGGCCCAGATCCATCTTTTTCTAGAGGAATTAAAATATCCCCTCCCTTGCCTCACTGACACCAGTGCAGCAAGAACGGTCCTGCGAAAACAGGACATCCAAGGCAAGGTACCCCTCTCAGGGGAAAGCCCTCCTAACCCCTACTAACCTCACTATCAAACGATGCACTATTCTTAACCCAGCTTCTCTTCTTCCTGTGTCGGAAGATGAGAAGGGGGGGGAGGACAGCAATGACAGTGCTGAATTTTGCAACACGACTAACAATACTAAACACCTCTTCTGCTAACATGTCTTCTTTGTCCACTACTAATCTCTCTTCCAAAGGACACGACTGCATTTCTTTGGTGGAACTGGAGTCAGCGGCGACACACCCCATATCACCCCGAGAGTAGCGGTAAGGTTGAACGTCTTCCGATACCCAAAAACCTTGGCCTGAGTGTCTCCCCCATTGCCCCCTATTCCATCCGGAATGCCCCTCGGCAACCACATGGGCTGTCACCCTACGAGGTGTTGTTTGGGGGACCTCCCAAAACAGGGTTGTACTTTCCTCAACAGTTGTCGTCTTTGCATTCACAGCTTACAGGTTATGTGCAATCTCTGCAACGGGAGCTGCAGAAGATACACCATCGGGTTCGCGAATCGCTCCCCGATCCAAATACAATAACAGGTGTTCTTTCTATTGAGCCAGGTGATTGGGTCGTCCTAAAGAAACATCAAAGAACCGGACTCGAGCCACGGTTCACCGGACCATACCAAGTCCAGCTGACGACACCTACCTCACTCAAACTCGAGGGACGAGACAACTGGGTGCACGCAAGCCACTGCAAGAAGCTTTTCAGCTACACCAGAGAATGAGGGGTGTCATTTTCCTTTTTCTTTTTGTTTGTATGTCATACATGTGTGTGAACGGAGGAAAAGACGGCAGATACCCCAACCTTTTATTTAAAATGCACCTGCGTTTAGCCAGAACCGCCAACAAAACCAACTGTTGGGTATGCTCTAAGCCCCCACCCAGTCATCACATGTCCGCAATGGCCGCTGTTCATGCCCTATATGACATCCGCGTCGGCATGAAAAAGCAAGGGACCCCTGGTCAGCCCCCACGTAGACATTTGTCGGTAGAACTTAATGACACATTTTTTAGCAGGTAACATCAGTTTTCAGCACCAATATTAGCTCTAGCTCCTGTAGGGCCCTCACCAGTCCATTATGGGTAACTGGGCAGCTAGGCAGCCCTCAGGTGTGCTTTAACATCAGCTTTGGCACAGGTAACAAGTTTGTTGGGACTACCACCTGCGAGGGAGGTATAACTGTCAATCTGACTAACCAGACTTCCTTTCTGAGTAACCACACTGACCGACCAGACCACGTGTGTTGGAAGGACGGATGTGATGTGCAGACTGAGGGAGCAATCCCCCAGTCTGTGCAACTGTTGCTCAGTACCAGAGGCCGAACGAGGAACTCTTCCTGCTCTGCTCTGACAGGTCCATACTATTTTCTGTGTGGGTTCGGCAGCCTATAGAACATTTCCCCAGAACGCGAAAGGTTCGTGTGCCCTCATAAAGCTAGTCCCCGCATCCTATGTAGTGATGGACCATGAAGAGTTGATGGTCCACAAGAAGGTAAGGATGGCAGGGAGAGTTCGCAGGGAACTGTTCTCTGAGGGCGACCAGGCATGGGCTTGGTTCCCCTCATGGACAGGATGGGGAATAGAACTTATGAAGCGCCTGAAACAATTTTTCTGTCATCGTGGATAGTATGTTTAACGAGACCGTAGAGGCTGTCAGAGAAATTGCCCAAGAACAACGGCAGATGGGAATTTTAGTGCTTCAGGAGAAGATGGCCCTTGATTATCTTTTAGCCGCCAAAGGGGGGTTCTGTGAGTTCATCGGAGAGGATTGTTGTACTTGGATAGAAGACACCGATGACAAGGTCCAGGCCCATATGGACAAAGTTAGTGAACTACAGGGAAAAGCTAGAGCTATAGCTAGTGAGGGTTGGAATCCGTTCAAGGGTTTGGGAGGATTGGGAGATTTCCTGTTCTCCATCGGATCTTGGTTGAAGGAAGTGGGAGTGTATATCCTGATGCTTCTCTTTTTCATCTGCCTTTTATATGCCGCGGTGAGATGTTCCTGTTGCCTCATCATCGACCGTGTAAGCCAAGCTCGGGCAGACGACCACATCTCCATGCCCGCTCCGGGGATCCCACTCCAACCACTGATCGGGGGGGAAGACCTCACCAACCAACCACCTTCTCTACAGATTACGTCCTGGCTTCCCTCTAATTTATCTCTCTGAAGACCACATTCTCCAAGACCTTCAAGCAAGCTTCAAGCCTCATCATGTTTGTGTCTGCGATTTGGAAAACTGTCTGGGTCGAGACCAGCCTTGTGTGGCCCCGTCTGCAGGGGCAATTTGAGAATCTGTTGCTGGATCTCCCCAGACCACCGTGGGATCACAAGCTTTATTCATACCACAAGTCTGTTTGTGGTTTTTGCAAGAGCCTTCCTGTAGTGAAGGTTTCCAACGCTCTTGAGGATCATCGCTTCAATCAAGCCTGTTTGCGTCGTCGAGTCTGCGTCGGGTCTTGTTGTTTCAGGTACCCCGTGGAGCTTTATTCTCAGGGACAACTACAGGAACTCTTTGAAGTTTGAGACTACACCCATCAAGCTGAAGAAGATCAAGAAGGGACACGAGGAGAATATG